CTAAATCTGGAATTCTCGCTTATTTGGCCTCTGACCAGGGCAGAAATTATCAATGCAAATGTTGTTTGGCTAGTAGAAAACCGGGTGACAAAACGTGATGGCTGCAATTAGTGTTTGCAAATATTTCGAAACATTTATACTCGCATCTTTTGCTATTGCCGTAACGCATCCTTTTAAAATTCCTTCGCATTTACGCAAACATTCTTGTTCTGGTGGGCTGGCAGGAATTCGTCGGACCAACATGCAAGGAATTTCGCTTTTGAACCAGCAATACGACATAAAAGTGGTAGTTTAAGGGGAATTTATATCGCGTTTGAATGGAACCATTCGAACCCAAACAGTTATATGAATTCACAGGCAAAATCACTCCATATGTGTAGCACGCATTCTTACGTCAGCTCAACCATGATGATCATCTATTGCATATCGGAAAAAATCGATTTCCATTGAGGAATAAATGGTTTCGGGCCATGACAATTTGCTTTTGCCTTGCATGTACAGAGTGTCCCAATCCCAATTGATTGGCAGTGTCCTCAAAAACGATATCTTTTAATTTTCCTAATTCTTTTAAATTAACCGTCCAAATATTCCAATAAACTCGAATGGCATTATTTTATTAAACTATTTAGGAGATTATATTGGCCTTGTAAAACCGAGCCGCCGATTTCATTAACTTGTAGCGTACACAGACCGTGAACTCTTATTACTGTTTAATTTACGGAATTATGAACAGCCATAGCACGAAAAAAAACTGTACTCTTTATGTATTTAAGACAATGTCGTGCCGCTTTTTCACAAAACTGTTCGTTCGTATCAAGTACGACGTGCACTTGGAAGGTGAATAGCTCATTTTTTGCTCATTTTTCATTTGGCCGGGGTATATGAATACGAGGTCAATGCCGCCAATTGAATATTCCGATTCCTCACAAAACATGAATCTTTAAATTGTTTGAGAATAAGTGCTCGAAAAAGTCGCTAATGCTAGGCGCGTTGAAATATGCAAATTAATTGCCTACATAAAGGAATTATCGCTGAATTTGATTTCGTATATTAAGCGGCGAAAATTGACGAAGTTTTGGTAGTCTAAATATCCTGATTAACTGACAAAAATGAACATTTAAACGCAATTTACTGAAGAAGACCCATCATCTACCTACACGAATGTTGAAAGGAATCAAACGTATGATATTTACATTACAGGATGCGGTTGAAGAAAATGATGGTGTATGGTTGAAAATCGGCAAACCAGAACTTCTTTTAATTTAATTGAATGATACTGTGCTTCGCTTAATAATGAACATAACGGAAAACGGAACAGATAGGAAGTACGAGTCGAAACATAAAAACCATAGAGCATATCAAACAGGAATATTAAGTGGCTTTTAGTTGGAAAAAAGTCGTTTAGCTACTAATCACAGGTTCGGCGTTCAAATATCACTCTAACAATCACAAGTTTTCATGAAAAGAGTGTTTTGTGTATTAATAATAGCACATGCTGGGCATACGGTGTGGGCGCTGATATTATATTATTATTTATCAGCATTGATGATAATTTAAATGTATGGAATTCCACGGTGCCATTAAATGCACTACAGACGGATTCAATTTCTAAATTCCGACTGCTATAAAACGAGATCCGTTTTCGCTTATCACACTTGGCCTGAATACTTCTGGTAATAGTTATTTCAATTTGTTGATAATGTGTGGTGTGAAATGTTCTCACGAAGAAGATATCGAATTGCCGGCTGCATGAACATGTACGCTTTCTACTCTATAAAACATGATAGCCAATTATTTGTAATTATGATTATTTGTCGATGAATAGCGCAATTAGGAAAAGGCGCACTTTAATCGTTATAAAATGCAAATTTCCAGCAGTGGTCATCAGAGACCAATCAATCTTCAACGTGAAAAAATAGCCAAGTTGAGAAAGGGAAAGCAAGTCTTTAAGTTTGAATGGGTTGTGCTTTTCGTATCCCTCAATTTCAATAATGTTTCGCCATTTGTGGAACGTGCGGTATATAAAAAACAAATCGTTCAAATGCGCACTGGCATTCCATATTCATATATAAACCACTCATTAATATGAGGGCCAAAGTCACACGTTCATGTGATTGCTATACAAGCCGCACCAATAAACCTTCCATATTTAGCTGGAGAATTATTAAAATGTAATGGGCAAAGCCTTAGGAATATTTGTCCAAGAGGGTGTTTCAATTGTATCAAAAATTCCTACAAACTGAACATTAATCTATGGTAATTTATACGTATGAAGGATTAAATAAGTTTATTCTATCTATCTATTGCTATTTTGTTAAATATTTAGTAAACAAATTCAGCTAAAATTCAAATTATTCATGAATCTCTAAAACGCTCTATTGGTTGTGACGTCTCTGGTCATATAAATGGCGGATTGTTTACGTTCTGTGCATAGTGTTTAGTTGTGTGGTTGTGTTTCATTAAATATTTTGTGGATTTAAATAATTTATAGTTTGTGTTAAACTAAAAAATGGCTTCAGAAGGATTCCTTAAAGCGCCAACAAACAATTTATCATGTGTACATATTTTTATGGTTACCGAAAGTTGGGAAGAGCGTTTCAAGAAGAGGCATAATATCAGTAGCTGAAAAATTGTTGGAGAGTCTGCCGGTGAACAATCCATCTTATGAAAACGTTAGGGGCGATCGATAAAAATTAAACATTTCCTATAAATCTTTTAGATGCAGTCAATTTCATTCATAGAGCTTGGCAAAAAA